CTCCCATTAAGAATTCATTCCAGTCTTAGTTGGGTATAAGTAAAAAAATTAAAAAATAAATGCAATTTAATCCGACGATTTTTTTCATGTTGCAAATAGGGCTGAAAACGAACCGAACGTTCAGCGAACCGTTCATGAATCGTTTGGCGGGAAGTTCGTTTATGTTTGTTTATTTAATAAATGAACGAAAATGAACAAATTTTTTTGTTCGTTTAGTTAAACGAACGAACATGAACAAGAGTCATGTTTGTTCATTTATGTTCATGAACGTTCGTTTGTTTACCGTTCGTTTACGTTCGTTCATTTATGTTCGTTTATATACTAAATTTAATATATAATATTTTGTTTATTTACTTTAAATTCAAATAATATTTATTTATGTTCGTTTAGCTCGTTCGTTTATGTTCGTTCGTTTACGTTCGTTTAGCTTGCTAACGAACGAACATAAACGAACACGAACACACCTGATTTCTAAACGAACGAACACGAACAGAAAGATTTTCGTTCGTTTACTGTTCGTGTTCGTTCGTTTGTTCGGTTAAGTTAAACGAACGAACATGAACAAGCATCCGTTCGTGTTCGTTCGGTTCGTTTACAGCCCTAATTGCAAACCAAGATTGTAACTTTAATATATTAATAATAATGGATTTTTAGGATAACAGAATAGACTTGTGTCAAGTTCTAATTGGTTGATTTTAGATTTTATTAGGATAAAACTTATCTGATTAAAAAGATAATTTTAATAAAAAAATAAAAAATTAAAAAATATACCAAAACTCATATTTTCAATTCCCAACAAATAGAGACTAATATTAACATATTTTCAACACACTAATCTTTCTTTTCATTTCAATACTCTCATCATCTTGAAAATTCTTAATTTTTTTTAAGTTTGTGGTACGGATCCAAACCAGCCAAATTTTTCTTTAACTCTCAACATCCTGATAACTCTCAATATATTCCAAACACAATTTAAAAACTCTAAGTTTTCCCATTATGATAATCTAGTTTTATCCTTAAAAATATCCAAACCTCGCAAAAGGGCCCAAAAGTCAACCATCCATGGGAAAGTAAAGAAGATATGGCTTTAATGTTAGTATGGGACTTTGTTAGCAAAGATGCTACTCGTAGCAAAAACCAATAGAAATAAGCGCTTTTTGCACGAGTAAAAAAAAATACTATGATGCAACTCAAGAAGAAAATCCAGAAGGAATGTGCATCAGGAACGCAAATCAAATGAAAGGTCGTTGGCTTTGACTTAACGAAAATGAAAACAAGTGGATTGATGCGTATAAAGAAGCATATCATCAGAAAATGGAATGAGTATGGCAGATGTTGAGAAAGGAACTCATGCAATTTTATGAGGTGGGTGGAAAAAAGTTTTTGGACTTGCTTGTATTTAACAAAGTTATGTGTAAACATCCCAAGTAGAAATTACAATTAGATCGTAACACAATACGTTCTCGTTCGGAATATGAAGTGAGGGTTGAAAAAAGTGGTGGAAACACGAAAAGATCAAGAACTAAGGAAGAAGAAACCTATCAAGAATCTCCAATTATTGGTGGTTCAACAATTCAGCGTCCTATGAGGTAGAGATGCAACAAAATAAAGAGAAAAATGTAAGGCATCATAATATTCTTCAATTTCTAATGACTTTTTGCAAAACTTCTTGCAATGACGATTACAAGAAACAATGAAGTTGAAATCATGACATAAAAAACTGAACTTTGACAAATAAAAGTTTAAAGTCGAACAACACCACAAAAATCTACATATACTGATGGCGAAAGAACATCTGTCACCAAGAGAGGAAGCGCTGAAAGAACGCCTTTTGGCAATGTTGTATGGATAATGATATTATATATTACTAATTTAGTATTTTGCGTATCTGTTTTTAATTTATGTATTATGTATTAGTAATTTAGTATTCTGTGTATTTTGTTTGTAGTTTATGTTTTATGTATTAGTAATTTATGTTAAAATGAATGGTTATGATTGCTTTGGAAGTTAGCTAAAGTTCACATGTCATTGTCTCCTCATTACGTGTTCTTTCTTTCACTAAAGTTCACATGTTATTGTCTCCTCATTATATGTTGTCTTTATCAACTCAAAGTTGACATGCCATTGTCCCTCACTGACGATTTAAAGTTTTCTTATATATTTGTTGTCATTTAACAAATACTAATTCATACAACATTCCTCAAACAGCCTCAAACATCCTACTAAAATGTCTCTTAATGAAAAATATTCACCAAAGCCATTTGATGAATGGAAATCACGAGTTATTGAACAAAATCAACAACTTGTTTGGAACAAACATAATATGAGACAAATTATGATTACTTGTATCATCATGCACAATATGATAGTTGAAGACGAACGAGATACATACCTCAACTATTATGATCTTGTTGAATTTCTTAACGACATGTCTCCAAATCGACAACAAGGAAGCTCCAAAAGATGATAGTCAACTGCCTGAATTATCCACTGAACGGATTACAAACTTATCAAGTTATATGGCTAATAGGGAATAACTTCGCAATAGGAATACTCATAACGCTCTAAAAATTGATTTGATTGAGCATATACGGAAAAAATTCGGCACTGATAATTAACTATGTTATTTTACGTCTTTTGGTTATGTAATTTCACACTTTTTTTTCTGTAGTTTGTTTTATTTATTTTCAACTGTAAATATTTTATATTTATAGTTACGTTTTAAAATATGAAATTGTTTTTAATTTATTTTTTAATTTAAAATTAATATATATACATATATTGTAAAATATTAAATATATAATTTTTATAATTTTTTTTTAGATTGAGTTAGATTATGAATAATATATAAACAAAAATTAGATTATATTGGAGTTAAGACCATGTTTAACGGCGATCCCAACCACGGGATGTTGAATAGTACAAAGGTTTAAAAAAAACTATTGAAATGGCCAATCTCTTTTGATCTCTATCATCGTCCGAACCAAGATTGTTGGCTTTTCATCTCTTTTTATCTACTACATGAAAGATTCCTATTGGTTAATGTTAGATTTTTTGTGATAAAATTTATCTGATAAAGAAATGACTTTAATAAAAAAAATTAAAAATTGAAAAATACGCTAGAAATCAAGGTTTTCAATTCCTTACAAATATGGCTCAATATTGACATATTTTCACCACAACAATCTTTTTCTTCATCTCAATAACTCTCATTATCTTGCAAATTCCAAAACTTTCAGTTTCTTTCAATTTTAGCTATGATCCAAACTTCCAAAAAAAAATTCAAATTCTCAACATCGTGATAACTCCCAATATCACCCCAACACATAATAGAAAACTCCGAGTTTTTCATCTATAATAAGCAAGTTTCTATCCTTGAAAATGCTCAAACTCTACAAAAGAGTTCAAGAGCATGTAAATGGGAAACTAAAGAAGATATGGTGTTAATGTTAGCATGGATTTACGTCAGTGAGGAACCTACTCGAGGCAAAAACCATAAGAAATGGACGTTTTGATCATGAGTGAAAGAATACTATGATGAAACTCGAGCAGAAAATGCAGAAGGACTGAGAAAGAATACTATGATGAAACTCGAGCAGAAAATGCAGAAGGACTGAGCATCAGGAACCAAAATCAAATGAAAGGTTGTTTTACACGACTTAATGAAAGCACAAACGAATGGGTTGCTGCATACAGAGAAGCATATCAACAAAAAGGAAGTGGAATAAGTATGAAAGATGTTGAAAAAGGAGCTCATGCAATTTATGCAATGGGAGGGAGCAAGTTTAATAACTTGCTTGTATTTAACGAAGTTATGCGTAAACATGCCAAGTGAGATTTACAGTTACAACGTGACATAACACGTTTTCACCCAAAATATGAAGTGGGTAATTACGAAAGTGGTGGTAGAAGCACAAAATGATCAAGAACTATAGAAGAAAGAGATTATTCTGTCGAAACTAAACAAGAATCACCAACTATTGCTGGTTCAACAGTTCAGTGTCCTATGGGTAAAGATGCGACAATGAAAAAAGGAAAAGGTAAGACATCACAATATTCTTCAACTATTGACTATTCTGAAGAATTTCGTGCATTGAACATTACAAGAAACAGTGAAGTTGAAATCATGACTAAAAGACTCGAATTCGAAAAAGAAAAAGAACACCACCAGAATCTACGTGCACTGTTGGCAAAAGAACACCTGTTGTCACCAGGAGAGGAGGCGCTGAAAGAATGTCTTTTGGGAATGTCGTGTGGATAGTGGTTTGTTTGCAATTTAGAATTTTTTATATGTAATTTATTATTCGTGTATCTGTTTGTAACTTGTTTTTCAAGTGTACTATTTGAAATTTATTTTTATGTTATAATGAATGGTTATGATTATCTCCCAATAATGTGTTGTCACTTTTGCTCAGGTTCACATGCCATTGTCTCTCAATCATGTGTTGTCTCTTTCTCTCAGGTTTACATGACAATGTCTCCCAATAACATATTGTCTCTTTCCATCAGGTTCACATGTCATTTTCTCCCAATAATGAGTTGTTTCTTTCACTCAGGTTGACATGTCATTGTCTCCTAATAATATGTTGTATATTTTACTCAATTCACATGTCATTGTCTCCCAATAACGTGTTCTCTTTCACTAAGTTTCATATGTCATTGTCACCCAAATTATTGAAAATTTCCGTACATATTTGTTGTCTTTCAACAAAGACTTGTACACACAATTTTCCTCAAACTCCCATGAAAATGTCTCTCAATGAAAAAACGCCACAAAATCAGTTGAATAATTTGACGAATGACAATCATGAGTTGTTCAACAAAACTAATAACTTGATCCGTCATCAAGGATATTGCTCATAAACTCATCCAATCTGTATATAAGAGATCAATCTCGTGGTGGAGAGAAATTATAATCTTAATAAAAATTCAATTAAAAGAGATCATTGTTAAATGAATCTTTATAAATAATGAATTTGATTGGAGATGCTACTATTTTTGTCCATTTTCACAAACAATGTCGATTGCCTTTAAGAAAAAATGTCGCATCCCCAAAATGCACACTTGCATAAATTAGGGTCGCCCCTCAAATTTGATATCCAGATTGTTCGTAAGCAATGGTAGAGACTCCGGAAGTTCGGTTGAGCTCTAAAATCTCCAAAAACTCATCAAAACGATTTTTGTTTGATAAACGCTACGGCTATGTGTACTTCTCTGTCTCTCTGTCTGGATTCTCCAATTCTACCATTGCAGTGGCTATAAACATTTTTCTTTTTTGCAGATATGATGACTGGAGAGAACCTTCGGAAGTTGCTCTAGCCTATGGCCGTGGAATGTAATTGCTTTTGTCTTCTTCTTGTGATGTCATTCCTTCGTCAATAGTTCCGTAAAACCCACATTTTGAGTATAGAAATCGAACAAACTACCTTTTTGGCTTGAAAATTGATTATAATTATCGAAACTTTAGGTATTTAATAACTAGGTTCGATTGTGTATTGAGTGCTTCAACCACGTAGTATTTGGAAAATTCACATGAGATTTTGATTCTTAAAAGTCAATTACGCACTTGCTTTTACATTTTTTTTCTTGCTTTCCTAACCACGACCCATTTGAGCAGAATTGTTAATTTTCCAGAGAAGAAATTGAGTAATGCTATAACCTCTATGTAATTACTAAAACTTGAAGAAAATTGGTACGAATGAAAGGTAGTTTGCATAAATTTGAATCTTGGAGGTACTAAATTCTGGCATTAATAAAAGCGAAATTGAGTTTTTAAATTTAGGAAGTGTAGAGGCATGTGGGCTGACCAGTTGAGGATGGACATGGCAACTTTGGGCATCTCCGAGGACATGACCTCTTATAGGAGTTCTTGGAGACGCAGGACTAGGGACGAGAGTGGCCGATTTTTAGTAGTATATGGTAGTGGTGATGACAAGGATATTGAGATGCGGGTAAGGAGTAGTCAAATTGGCTCCTTGTGTGGGTTAGCTGCGCATGATGGGACCTTTCTTTCTTGTTTTTCTTAATGGTTACCTGCATGCTTAAGTTGCTATGTACATTCGTTTACTACATGCATTACATATCTTATATGATCACATTGTCTGCTTACCTTTGATTTTGTATTCTACCTATTGTATTTTCCCGATTATCTGTTATAGACTCCTAATACCTATCCTATTGTTTGCTTGCACACACATTTGTTTCATGCACAAGTCGGGAGTTTTCATGGAAACGACCTCTCGATTCTAGTTGTCGGGGGTAAGATCTGCTTACATCCTATCCCTCCCAGACCCTACTACTTTTGAGTGGGATATACCATCTCTATATGGTTTGATTTCAAAATTTGGAAGTGTAGGAATTATCAAAAAGATCATATTTTGTTGCTAGGAAAGTGAAAGGAAGTCATGATAATGTGCTGAAGTTAAAAAAAAATTCTTGTCTGAAGTCTTTTTTTCTTGTTTGAAGGTTTTGCATTGTGCCTCTTGGGAAAGCTTTGTTTAAAATGGTTTCAGAATCGGTATGATTGGCTTTCCTTATATAGTTATTAGTGCATGTATATTCCTTGCTTTTGCTGAATGAAATTTAAAATACCTATTAGTTTGATCTTCTATATTTATACATCTTTAGTTATTTTATCCAAACCAAATGAACTTCATGTGTTGAAATTGAACCATAATGCTAGTTTTTATGCACTTTTATGCCGTAATTCGTCTTGGATATATAATAATTTTTGTTATCATGCTATAGTAGCCTTGTTGAAATTCACCATTAGGATGTGTGTAATAGTTATTCCTTTAATTTACGTGAATAGATATCACAAGTTATTAGGTGATGAAGTGCTTAGTGTTTACTTCTATTACATACAATTTAAATATTGCAGTTGGGAGTCAAATTTTAGGGTCTTGATGCTAATCAAATCAAATGATCCAGAAGCATGGGTAAATCTACGCAAGATAGACGATTTTAACAAATCCAATAAATCCCAGCGAGGTTAGGGGGTTAGTATGTATGTAGACCTTGACTCAACCCCAAGGGGTAGAGAGATTGTTTCAGTGAAGGCACTTCACTTGTAAAACAAAAAATAGAAGAAACAAAAGAGCAATTAGAGATAAGAGTATGCAATCAAGCATTAGGTCAATTTAAAAAACAATGCAAGGTAAAGGGAAAAATAAGTTAAAACAATCAAGGAAGCACAAAAACGCAAACTAACAACTACTAATACAAGAATAAAAGCTAACACTAGAAGTAGGAAAAATAAGGCATCCCTCTATATGACGTAATACTCACGTAATGTAATGACCACCTCGCTACCCCCTTTGTCTCAACCTCTAACTTCTCCAAACTCCATCCTCTTGTCCAAGCTACAGGTCCTACCCATAGACTGTATTGTGTTACCGTGGTCCCACATCTCCAAGAAGTGCTATCAGAGGTCATGTTCTCTAAAACATCTAATGCCGCCAAGGCCATCCTCAATTGCTCATCACATGTTTTCCTCGCCTGCCTCCTCACCCCTTTGACAGTCATACTCTTTACCATCCTCGCTGGTGCCATAGCCGACATTCTGCACATGCCTAAACAAACATAATCTTTCCTCCCTCAATGTATTTGTGACGGGTGCAACACCTAGCTATGCCTGAAAGACATTGTTTGGTATCCCGTCCAACTGTCACACCCCTAATTCCCATTAGAGATATATGACACCTTACTTAACTCGTAAAGGAAAATACAACCTTCCTTTAGTTCAAGCTCACATCACTAGATGACCTTAGTTACACTTGAAAGCAAATACAACCATAGGCTTATTGGCTAAAGTACTACGCTTCACAACATAATTGAAAGTGTCAAGTTATATATGAAATAGTTAGCTAATGTTGTCTAAAGTCCGCTAGACGTGACTTTTCCCCTTATCAACTCATGCCAATCCCGATCCTACTTTGCACCATGCTAGTCAGCTTCATGGCTCAGTGAGACCACATTTATAACAATAATCTCAACGGTAAAGTAACATGCTATAAGATAATTCTCACTTATTAGCACTTACTTTGAGATAGAGGGAGTACTTGTTAAAAAAAATAATAATAAAATCTTTATATATTAATTACATATATTAAAAAAAATTTAGGCAACTGATGATGATTCTAAATATAATTTAAATATGTATTACATGTTTATAAATATTTTTATTTCTTTTTAGTTTCCGCCTCGAGGCGTAAGGAAAACGCCTCGAGGCCTGATTCTGCTTTTTAAAACCTAAAACCTTGGATTGACCTAGAAAGGGGTAGTAACAAGTAGTGCGTGCTAATATTGCAATGACCATTAAATACGATAATTTGATAGTGAAGTTGCTTTGTGACTTCACACTGCACTTATTCTAATCCTGTCTGCATGGAACGACCACCTCCTCAACAACAAAGCCGGATGGCTGAACCATTTATGGTTTCTTTGAGAAAGACATTCTTATTATCTAACCAATTAGTGGCGTATGATGAGTGATCAATGGAACACAAATGCAAGACATACACCATTTTGGCCACGGGTGCGGAAGTGTTTTCATAATCAATTCACTAAGCTTGAGGATAACCCTTATCCACTAGACGGGCTTTTATGTGATGTAAAGGAGGATGAGATCCCTACTTGTATTCAACATGTTGACTTGAAGGAAGAGATTCCAAGGCCCCTTATTTCTATGAAGGGAATTAATCTCTCTAATCTCTTGTATGGCTTTGTGCTATCTTGGATAAATTGCCTCTTCTAATTAATTAGAATTTGATTGAATCCATATCATATGTTGAGCATAAGGGAGAAAGGGTGATATAAGCCTTGTTATATAGTTTTATCATGGCAAAGGGAGCAACTGAAAGAGTCGTACACATGTCACTTATGGAGAAATGTTGATGGAGATACTTTACAAGGTTTCGGGCTGAGTAATGGTGAAGATTGAGGCTTAAGTGTAGTAGGGCAGCCATTGACCTCATGATGCAGAGATGGAGTGTTATTAGCTTGTACAAATGTCATATAATTGTCGAGCATAAACCTATGTGATTAGAGCGCTAGTGATTTCGTGGATTCTAGTGACTTTGTCGAAGGAAAGGAATTGGGAATACCCACTTAGACTCTTAAAGGGAGTTCAGTAATGACCAAATGAGAACTTTGAAAAGAAAACTACAACATGAATAATGAATTCATAAAAGGTGAAATCAAGGGAAGTAAAATATTTATGGGGAGAAGGATTATGGCATGTACATCATTTCTAAACACGGAATTAACCAAGGAACATACACTTTACCTATTGACGATCAAGCTTAGTGTCTCTAGGACAGGCACGTGTGGGGCATATGGCGACCAATGCCGTGGCTTCATGATTTTGTCATAGTGGAAAAAACTTATGTTTCTGAAGGGTGCCAACATATTGTTTTGTTATGTATGCTCTTATATTTCTTGAAACTTAACTTATGACAGAAGTTTGTGGTGGCTTAGTTAGTCTAAGGCGTTGGATTAATGTATCTTGTTTGAAAGGGTGTGGCTTCTAATTATGCTTTTAGCAAATTTTCAGTTCTTCAGCTATTATAGCGTTTGTTTTTTAAGCAAATTGTTTGGAGGAAAGGATATGAAAGGGGTCAAATCCATAACCCTTGCTAAAGCAGGCACCCAAACAACAAATGGTCAAATGATGCCGCTGCTTGAAAATTTTTATGGGTCAGGGCTGGGCCTACCTCCATCCCTAGAGGAGCCGTATGAGGCGGAAGCTCCACGTACGGTTTTGAAGCCGAGCCCTCTGCTTATGCTGTAGGACACAAATCTTGGAGGTAACAAACACAACAATGTTTTTAGCATAAACTAGGAACATGGATGCTTAAGGAAACAATAGGAAGAAGGGGATTTTCTTGTGTAGGACAATTTAGGGCATATAATTTAAGGTAATTGACAAACAATGAGGGACATGGCGATGAATTGACATTATGCATGCTATTAGACTGAATGTACTTCAAGTGTAATTAGTATAATGTAGAGGGCACTCCTATGTAATTAGTATCTCTATACCCACAGACCTATTGTAATTAGGTTACACATGAAAATCAATACCCAAAAATCCTTTTGGTTTATCTCGGTATCAAAGCCAAGTTACCAAAACCCTACCTGCTCTCTTTGTATTGTCTACCCCAACTCAAGTCTATCAATAAAATCGCTTTTGTTGTTAATCGTGCATCCTCTACCATTTGGCATAGGCGGCTTGGTCATCCACATCAACGTCTTTTTCATTTATTGCTTTCTAGATTTTCTATTCCTGCTACAACTAAGACATTACCTTTTTGTACGTCCTATCAAATGGGCAAATCATCAAAAAATTCATTACTTGTTTCTTCCTTTTGAACTAATAAAATTTTAGATTTGGTTTATTGTGATGTCTGGTCTTGCACCGTTATATCTTTTGAAGATCATCATTACTTTATGCTATGTGTTGATCATCATTCTCGTTATATGTGGATCTACCCATTAGCTCAAAAATAGATGTCTACAACACCTTCAAAGGTTTTCTTACCATGGTTGAAAGACAATTTACTACAAAGGTAAAAAACGTTCAAACTGACTGGGTGGTGAATTCCAAAATCTATCTTCTTCTCATCCCTTGGCATTGTTCATCGCCGTTCATGTCATCACACCAGTGAGCAAAACGGTTTCGTGGAACGACGTAATTGACATGCCATTGAAACTAGTCTCACTCTGCTTGCTCCATCAGTGTTCCTCAACGTTTTAGACATTACGCCTTCGATACAACTGTATACCTAATCAATTGCTCATGATACTAATGATGTAAGTGGGTTTACTGGATAAAACAGGACAAGGCAGGTGCCATTACTCGTTACAAAGCGAGACTCGTCGCAAAAGGTTTTCGGCAACAAACTTGGCATTGATTTTCACGAAATCTTCAGTCCTGTTGTCAAGACCACTACCATCAGGGTTGTTTTACCGCTTACAGTTTCTCAGAAATGGTTGCTTAGGCAACTTGATGTTCAAAATGCTTTTCTTCATGGCCACCTTACTGAAACAGTCTATATGAAGCACCCTCCAGGCTTTATTGACCCACAACGATCAGATCATATTTTTCTACTCCACAAGTCCATTTATGGCCTCAAGCAGCCCCCACGGGCTTGGTTTCACTGCCTTTCCAAGGCTCTTCATACCCTTGGCTTTATAGGCTCCAAGACTGATCCTTCACTGTTAATTTTCAGTCATGCTGGCACTCTTTTATACATCTTAGTGTATGTTGACGGCATCATCATCATGGGAAACAATACTTCTGCTATCGACGCCGTCGTTCAACAACTGGGCTCAACTTTTGCGATAAAGGATCTAGGCCCTCTAAACTACTTCTTGGGTATTGAGATCGTCCCTTAAGGACCATACGTCATCCTTTTCAAAAGAAGTACATTTTGGAGCTCTTACAACGAGCAGACCTCTCATACTCTAAGCCCATGCTTTCCCCCATGACCTCGTTCAGTTCCCTATCTTTAGCTG